TCAGACCACAGAGCAGGAGACATATTTGCAGCAGATTCCCGTCGGCGTCAGAGGTTGTAGATCCAGTTCACATAATTACAGCAACAAGATAAATAGTTTCTGAACAGGTCATGTCCTTGCGTCGCACACATCGACTGCAGCAACACAAACCCCCGTCTGCACCTCTGGGCGGGGCTGAACTACACAACACTACACAACACAACACAACACAACAGATACAAGTACGGTACAAATGAAACTAGCTCTATGTAAATGTTCTCTGTGGTGATGTTGTGTTGAGATACCAGTCAAATCTACAGGAAATATGATCACAGTTTTTTTTTTTTTTTTTTTATTCATTTATTTGACAGGGACAATGTAGTCATACATAGTTACATTATGAAAATGCAGCTGATGCGACACATACAGAGTGTATAGCTAATGCTAATTTTCAACTCCTGTCCCTGGTTGAGCTTTTCCCTACAGTGCAACACATTATACAGAATGAATAAAATAGGCCTAGCCCTAAAACACATATTTACAACAGTGATCTAAAATTAAGACATTCCCCCAACCAATAACAGCCATATGGACAAAATATTCACAAACGAGAACACTCACACACACACTCACGTACACACACACACACACACACACACAAACACAAAATACTGTTTACAGGTTTAGAAATGGGTGCATGATTGGTTTGTTTTCAGCCACAGCTTGAGCTTTGAGGTGAACTCCTTGAATTCTAATATGTTTTTTGGGCGGCACGTGGCTGGTTGGAACGGGGCCTTTTTGAGTGGAGTTTGCATGTTCTCCCTGTGTCATCGTAGGTATCCTCTGGGTGCTCCGGTTTCCCCTACCACTAAAAACATGTCCAATAGGTCTGTGCCTCCTGTACTGGCCCCTCCTATCTCTGTGTGGAGTCACAGACTAATGCCCACAGTTCTAAACCGCTTTGACTCTGGTCTGAGAAAGGCGCTATATAAATAAACATTACTATGTACTTACTAGTTTGAACACATGTTTTAGGGCATGAGTCTCCAACCTACAGGAGGAGATACCAGTAGCTCACCTTCCTCCTCAAAGTAGCTCCCCAAAGTAAATATTAAAATGATTTTGAGAGATTTACAGATGGTTAAGGTACAATACACAACAAGAAATAGCCCAAAGTTGGCTAAGAACATTTTCCAATAGAACACGTGAAAAAGACTGTTGTTCCATTGTTAAAAGAAAAGAACGCAGCTCGCTTCAAACTGGTTCTGGGAGAAACTGTGATGACAACAACAGAAAGTGCCTGGAGCCGTGAACACCGTGAGATGGATTTTAACTCTATTTCTCCCCCTGCTGGTCATAACAGTCACTACAGCTACATACATAACAGCATATCTGTGCCATAATGGTCAGAAACAAACTGTATAGTGCTCATTTATCTCCCCACACAAGACCAGACGAGATGTTTTACTTCTGCTTTGTTCTGAGTTTGCACATTTCCTGCCTTTTTCCACTTCCTCTTGAAGCCAAATGTACCAAGTTCATTTCTCCAATGTGAGATCAATAACATTTGTATCTGATCATATCTTGTCCCCGTGTGAAGATGTGTCCACTGCATTTGACCCATTCTGTAAAGGGCCTCTGTCAGCAGCAGAGGGCGCCGCAGTACAGAACCTGAAGGAGAAACCGGAGCACCTGGAGGAAACCTATACAGAACAAAATAACAATTGTAAACCGCTTGGTGACTCTGGTCTGTGAAAGGCGGTATATAAATAAACATTACTTACTTAACTTCAAAACAACTCTTAGAACGGCACTGCTCTGACTGAAATTTGAACCCAGCCTCAAGGAAACAGATATTTATATACTTTCACTTAACATCAAAGGGTTGTATATAATGTATTACTCTGACTCTTGGCGGAGGTTTGTGCTTATCTAGTTCAGTGTTTTTGATCCAATATCACTTAATGCTCAAAATAATGTGAAAGAAACTTATTTGAGAAGATTATAAAGTGGGCACAGAAATAATTAGTACAAATTAATCACAAGGTACATTTACAAAATATAACAAAAAGAAGAAGCAAAAAGGAGTGAGAAGAAAACACTTATTTAATCCTACGTCTAATTACTTCAGTCATTGCAGTAAAGTCTATTTTCTGTACTTTCTTTGTTAATAAAGTCTGCAGAGGTTCTGTCACAAACCTGAGTCACGTGATCTATGCAATTATAATAAAATATAATCCTTTTCCTCATCAATAAAAGGAAAGTCCATGAAGTCCATCTGCACAGTCCAGAGGAGCTGAAGAGCCTGCGCCACCGCGTCCTCCGCCATCGTCTGAGCCAACGCCACGATTGGTCCATCTCCAACAGAACAGTCCACTTCCTCCCTCCCGAGCGATACGATTGGTCCATCTCCAACAGAACAGTTCACTTCCTCCTGATCGAGCGATACGATTGGTCCATCTCCAACAGAACAGTCCACTTCCTCCTGATCGAGCGATACGATTGGTCCATCTCCAACAGAACAGTCCACTTCCTCCCGATCGAGCGGTACGATTGGTCCATCTCCAACAGAACAGTCCACTTCCTCCTGATCGAGCGATACGATTGGTCCATCTCCAACAGCACAGTCCACTTCCTCCTGATTGAGCAATACGATTGGTCCATCTCCAACAGAACAGTCCACTTCCTCCTGATCGAGCGATACGATTGGTCCATCTCCAACAGAACAGTCCACTTCCTCCCGATCGAGCGATACGATTGGTCCATCTCCAACAGAACAGTCCACTTCCTCCCGATCGAACGATACGATTGGTCCATCTCCAACAGAACAGTCCACTTCCTCCTGATCGAGCGATACGATTGTTTCATCTCCAACAGAACAGTCCACTTCCTCCTGATCGAGCGATACGATTGGTCCATCTCCAACAGAACAGTCCACTTCCTCCTGATCGAGCGATACGATTGGTGGACATACAGATGGACCTTCTATTGACTTCTGACCGGCTGATGTGATTGGTCGACTGCTGTTTAGGATGCGAACCTCTTCTGAGCAAATCGCCGGAATAAAAACTGTCTCTTCCAGCGACAATTTCTTCTCATCTTGGAAATAGTTTTGAATCCTCGTGTCTTGTCTTTGTGGATTCTGTGAAAATGAACAACATCTGGAGACTCCACATCCCATTGTCTTCAGTCTGGTCTGATCTGATCTGGTCTGGCTCCAAAAGTGGATCTGAACCCATTTTACAGTTTGCTAGGCCAGTTTGAGTGTGGGTGGGGTAAGAACATACGTACATCTGCAAGTTGTAATTATTTTGCAGAAGAGTTTGTCTTAAAGGTGCAGTGAGACTCATGACAAAGGCACAGGTTCAAACTCGGTCCTCTGGGTTCAGACTCGGTCCTCAGGGTTCAGACTCGGTCCTCAGGGTTCAGACTCGGTCCTCTGGGTTCAGACTCGGTCCTCAGGGTTCAGACTCGGTCCTCTGGGTTCAGACTCGGTCCTCTGGGTTCAGACTCGGTCCTCAGGGTCAGACTCGGTCCTCAGGGTTCAGACTCGGTCCTCAGGGTCAGACTCGGCCCTCGGGGTTCAGACTCGGTCCTCAGGGTCAGACTCGGTCCTCGGGGTTCAGACTCGGTCCTCAGGGTCAGACTCGGTCCTCGGGTCCTCAGGGTCAGACTCGGTCCTCGGGTCCTCAGGGTTCAGACTCGGTCCTCGGGGTTCAGACTCGGTCCTCAGGGTTCAGACTCGGTCCTCGGGGTTCAGACTCGGTCCTCAGGGTTCAGACTCGGTCCTCAGGGTTCAGACTCGGTCCTCAGGGTTCAGACTCGGTCCTCAGGGTTCAGACTCGGTCCTCAGGGTTCAGTTTAACAGGATTATGGCAAAGGTTGTGTTGTGTCAAAGAAACACAGAATGAAAAAGTGAAACGGTGCTAAACAAATGAGTAAAATCTTGGATATTTGTAGAAACTAAAACAGAAGCGGATCCTCTGGTTTTGAAAGGACCCGATGTCTTTGGGACTGTGGTGTTTTGCAGATTGTGAAAGTGTAAACCCAGGGACCCTGCAGCAGAGGGAGGGAGCGGGGCCGGCCCCGGGCCCTGGGCTCCGAGCTCAGAGCGTGACAGAGCTGAGGACAGAGATCCAGGATGCACTTGCTTCTGCCCGTGTCCCTGCTGCTGGCCTGGGGGGGCTGCTGCTCCGGCCTGAACGGGACCTCCACGCCCCCCATGACCACCCTGACTCCCACGGAGCCGGCCGACCACTGCTCTCCCTGTGACTTCCGCGAACACAACAAGCTCCTGCGGCTCCAGAACATCAAGTCCCAGATCCTGAGCATCCTGCGCCTGGAGCGGGCCCCCAACATCAGCCGGGACATGATCCGCACGCTGCTGCCCAAAGCCCCCCCGCTGACCCAACTGCTCGACCAGTACGACCCCCGCGTGGAGGAGGAGGAGCGGACCAGCACCGAGACCATCATCACCATGGCGACCAAGCGTAAACACACATTAGAACCACATTAGGAACTGCCGATGGAAGAAGCTAAAATGTCTTGTTTTATGACAGAATGTACTCAATCGATTCAAGCCATTATTATTTCACATTTGATCATTTGCAGCGTGTGCGGTGAGTACAGCTGACGTGTGTTCCACTGATTTATTGAACTAAAGAATTCAGTAAATCAGCCGGATCATACTGCCCCACGGTTTCTAAAATCTAAATTATTGAAATATCTTAATTTTTGTAGGTTCCCAAACACTACAAGCTAACTGTGCTAACCACCTCCAGACCCTTCTGTGTGGAGTTTGCATGTTCTCCCCATGTCTGCTATGCCCTACCACTGCAAACATGTGCAACAGCCGCCTGTAGCAACTCTCGGCCCTTCTCTCCGGGGCCTGGACTCCACTGGCAAAAGGTTTAATACAGGTCAATAAATAATAATCATAATAATAACAATAATAATCATAATAATAGCATAGTTAAAACACAAGGTAATTAACAAAACATGCTACTTACACACAATTATAATATTTCTACACTGGAAAATATTTGGCAAACGTGAGGGATGTTGCACAGTTTGAGGAGTAACTTTACACCAGAGTTTGTGGAATTGAAAGAGAAATTATGACGTCAAACTGTTATTGTTAATTATAGTTTGTTTTTCTTTTATACTTTTATTTAAAGGGAAAGTGAACGACAAAAGGAGTGGGACTGAATGTTTCCTCCGGGTGCTCCACTTTTCACCCACCACTAAAAACATGTGCAATAAGTAAAACCCTCCAGCTCTGGTCCTGACCCAGAACATTTGGAGATGGGTCCCCTGTTGCTACGGCGACCACTCCCGACAGGTGTCCCAGTGAAGGATGGGTCAAATGCAAACGACACCCGACAGGACTTAAACTCCATATTGATTCAACAGTACTTTGGTGCTTTTCTCTCTTAAACATGTTAAATAAAGGTGCGTTATCTTTATCAATGTAGCGCATTTCAAAGACAAAGGTCACACAAGAGTAATCTACGGGAAATTCATTTACTATAATTATCTTTTGAATGAATTTTATTCATCCCACAGTCCCCCATTTACTCCACACGCGGGACGACAAGAGCGAGACTTCTTTCTTACCTATTGCACATGTTTTTAGTGGCAGGAGAAACTGGAGCACCTGGAGGAAACCTACGCAGACGTGGGAAGAACTCCACAGAGAAAGGGAATTCTGGAATGGAACCCAGCGCACAGTGACAGTTGTGATGTTGTGTTTGCAGCCGACCATCTGATCCAGAACCAGTGGTCCACCTGCTGCCTCTTCAGCCTGAGCCCGAAGATCCAGCCCCGGAACATCCTGAGCGCCCAACTCTGGGTCCACCTGCGCCCGCCGCACACAGTCAGCAGCGTGTTCTTGCAGATCTCTCGCCTCAAACCGGGCCGAGAGGGCAACAGCACCAGGGTGAGGGTGCGGTCGCTGCAGCTGGACATCGACGCCGGCGCCGGGTCCTGGCAGAGCGTGGATATAAAGTCCTTATTGCAGCTGTGGCTCCGAACCCCCGAGAGCAACTACGGCCTCGAGATCAACGCCTACGACTCGCACGGAGAGGACCTGGCCGTGAAGTCTGCGGAGCCCGGCGAGGAGGGCCTGGTAACCCGCACACTCCACGTTAGACACAGGGCTCAGGGAGGGGGAGGTTGGCATTTGAGCCTGATGGTTGTGGGTTCGAGACCGCCACAAAACCTTCTCCACTGATGTCTGCTGTCTTTGTACCTTTGGGTCTGATTTATTTTCTAAAGATTTCATAAAAATGTGTATTACTACAAACACGTTATATTAAAAACTTCAGCTGGGCGGTGGCTGAGTGGTTAGCACTCTTGCCTCTCAGCAAGAAGGTCCTGGGTTCGAATCCCGGTCAGAACAGGGCCTTTCTGAGTGGAGTTTGCATGTTCTCCCCGTATCTGTGTAGGTTTCCTCCGGGTGCTCCGGTTTCCCCTACCACTAAAAACATGTACAATAGGTCTGAATGTAAATGAGGGAGTGAAGAGATGGTGTTTGGTCGGAGGCTTTGATGGTCCAGTGTGTTCTGGTCTCGCTCCCGTCATCACCGTGTGTGGAATGATCGTTCCGTGTGGAATGGAACAATGAAGAGTTGGGGGCAGTGCATTCAAACAAATACAACAAAAAAACTTGCAGAAACAGGTATAGCTCCTTTAACCCCACTTCACACTGAATTATGAAGGCAATGCTCTCACAGACAGAGTGAGGGGCTGGAGCTCCGACTGTCATCCCCGACCCAGAAATGGATCAAGATGAAGATGGATGGTATTCTTGAATAGCCCTAAATAAGATAATATAAACTTTATAGATCTCTGATGGAGACATGTTCACGTCACATTTGGCTCAGACAGAATCACTCAGACTGTGCCAAAGACAGAAGTGTGAAACGTGTTCAAATAAAGTCTGTGCAGGATTTAATTATGAACAAAAAAAAGCGCTGGGTTTTCTTTTTTCAAATCGTGATCTCAGAGGACTTTACAAACTGTTAATTCTCCAACACAATCAGAGAATCAACAGTTCACAAGAGGAAACTCACTGATAGAACACATGTAGGTCACAGGTACTGGAAAGAACAGTGAGGGGCTTTCAGAACATATGGTCCATAAATGTTCACAAATGTTGCTAAAAGAGCCCGAGTGTCAGCCGCTGCTCTCACGTGTCTCTGCTCCTCAGCAACCCTTCATCGAGGTGAAGATCCTGGACACCGTGAACCGTTACCGGCGAGACACGGGTCTGAACTGCGACGAGAAGTCCTCCGAGACGCGCTGCTGCCGCTACCCGCTCACCGTGGACTTCGAGGAGTTCGGCTGGGACTGGATCATCGCCCCCAAGCGTTACCGTGCCAACTACTGCTCCGGGGAGTGCGAGTACATGCACCACCAGCAGTACCCACACGCCCACCTGGTGATCAAAGCCAACCCCCGGGGCACCGCCGGCCCCTGCTGCACGCCCACCAAGATGTCCTCCATCAACATGCTCTACTTCAACCACAAAGAGCAGATCATCTACGGAAAGATCCCGTCCATGGTGGTGGACCACTGCGGCTGCTCCTGAGCCTCCGATCCAACACGCATGTTTGACTGATGTAGCTCCACAAATGATTACTAATGTGCAGAGTCACGTGTGTAGTGCACCACATGTTAGACACACAATCAGAAAAGTATGTTATGAATGAATGACTTAGACCAGAACGAGTCCTGGCTCAGTACCTGCTTCCTGCATCCATTCATATATCATCCATATAACCACATATATATATATATATATATATATATATATATATATGGTTATATGTCATCCATGTATATATAATGAAAAGTTTACCTTTTCTGCAATGAAAGGTCAGTGTTCCAAGTTAACACAGTAGGAATAAAGGGAGCAAAAACAAGATGGTGCTTAAAACATTCATGAAATTAGCTAAAATATAAAGAAACATAAACCTTTTTAGCTGAAGTAAACAAATGATAAGAGAACTATAAAGATATAAATGATAGACATAGCTATGTGTATAACAACGACTATGACTAAGCATATTCAGACACCAGCCTGACTTTAATGAAATACATTCTCTCTGGAGATTATAGTGTTATTATAGTATGAGCAGAAACCTTAGTTTAAAAGAAACCATGGACAGTCTGACGGAGCGCTGCTTTAAAAGTGTGTCCTGAAGTGAGCCGGAGCACGACAGGGGACTGTTCCATCTGAGACAAACATGAACTGGGTGACTCCTGAGCCTGAGCACAAAGTGACGCTGAACCGGTCCCAGAACAGTCCTGAGGACCACAGAACCTTCTCAGTCCTGCAGGAGGACTCCAGCTGTAAAACTGAACTTTGATAAAAACATCGGCAGCAACAGAGAGAGGAAATGTTCAAGGCCCAGACATGGAGAATGGCTGTTGGTTTGTTCTCTCTCTTTTCTTTGAATGTAAAATGCAGAGTGTGGCTGCCACTGTGAGCAGATGGCTTCATGTTGTTGTGCTGCACATGGGGTTCTGACCCGCAACACTGAGTCCAAAGATGTGGGTTCTGTTCCAAGTGTGATCACACTCTATAAAGTTTCTCCCAAGTCAAAGACCTTATGTCTCCTGATGATACACACATGTTCATGCACCGGATCATGAGTGAGGTCTGTAGTTCAAACTAACCATCAGGCAATACACCTCCCACACCTGCCACTGTCTGCAGTTTGCCCCAGGGCAGCTGGGACACCGCCACAGAACAAATGTGCTGTTAAAGATAAATGTGTGTGTGTGTGTGTGTGTGTGTGTTGTGTGTGTAGTGTGTGTGTTTTGTGTGTATGTGTATGTGTGTGTCCGTGTGTATTTATTTTATATTGCATTAATGTCCTATAAAATGTACAGTCCATAGTTTTATACTATTTTAAATGAAAACTATGGGCCATTTTCTATTTTCCACAGTTATCTGTGTCACAGAAGAGATAAGTGCATTTCATAAATTAAGTTTCAGTTTAGGTTTCTGTTTCAGAAGAGCCACGATGGGAGCTTACTTTCTGCTTCCCAGAAAGCACGTGATCACGGCGGCTGTTCCAGGAGTCAGCCTGTCCTCCCCAAAGAAGAAACGCACGAAGTCTCTGTGAACAAAAACAAACAGTTAGTTGAGGCTTTATTTCACAGCAGCTGTTGTAGAACGTTGTCTTTGCCTGTATACGGGTGTTTGGTCCAAACTGAAGCAGCAAAAGTGATGAGCACGGGCACTTCCTGGAGACGAGGCTCGCGAACTCAACAGCCGAGTAGGACGCATGTGATTGGCTCTTTTTGCTGTGAGGCGGGTCAAAGCCATGCTTACTGCATGCTGATTGGCTGAGAAGATGCCTGCGTTATTACAGAGAAGTTGCAGACAGTGGCAGCACAAACACACCGTTAATATCCGTCTGTGCCTTTACCTTGACACATGGTAAGTCTCCTGCTGAGCTCTGAACATGAAACAGGATATTAATAAACTATTTACAACGTCTAGAGCCACAGTTTTACTGAATGTTTAAGACTTAGCTTTTAATAGGAAGTCGACTGTAATGCATGCTGTAGTTGAAGTTGTTTATGGGTATTATTTTAATGCATGTTTTACAGTTAGGCTAATCTGTGCAATGCTTACCGCTCACTGCTCATATCAGTGCCTATTGACTGTATTCTGAAGTCTGTAATACTCTATGTTCAAGCTTAGTGTAGTACTGTGTTATTGTGTTGGACTGTTGTGTTGTGATTCTGGAGGGTTGGCACTAGCTGGATATGTGCGATATAGATAAACTTGACTTTAGCTTTTTGAAGGGATGAGAGTTAGCTTCTGCCTGCTTTGCTCATAGTAGTATATGAGCTCATAGTAGTGTTATCATTTCTGTCTATTTGTCAGAAACCTACACACTTATATGGTAATTCCATCCACCTCCTGTAGATGGCGCAGTGGTACCAGCTGCAGATGTTGGACGGTAAGTACCTGGAGCAGGTGGACCAGCTGTATGATGACTCCTTCCCCATGGACATCCGGCAGTACCTCAGCCAGTGGATCGAGAGCGTCGACTGGTCAGATCTCACACAAGACATTTATATAATTTTTCCTTTTAAAAATCTTACTAACATGATTTTATGCTGCGATTTTAAAGCACTCCTTCTATAGCTGAAGTGTGGTTGTTGCTGGATGTCTTCTCAGGGAAGCGGTGACCGACAACGAGTCCCTGGCCACGGTGCGCTTCCACGAGCTGCTGTCCCAACTGGACGACCAGCACAGCCGCTTCGCTCTCGAGAACAACTTCCTGCTCCAGCACAACATCCGCAAGATCAAGAGAAACCTGCAGGTGACACAGACACAGGACCTGAAGACAGACTTGATGCATTCTTTTGTCCAGTAAAAAGGACCACTCGCTTGTTTTAGAACGTTAAATAGTGGAAAATATCAGAATCTGAATCATTTTTATTGCCACGTAAGTAACAGGAGGTCACAGACTTGGAAATTGCTTTGGCTCAGTGCAACAGTCAGAAAGAGATAATAAAAATAAGAATAAAAAACACTTCTAAGGAATACATTTAAAATAAAAATAAAAATAGAGTTACAATTACTATTTACAATATCCAAGTGCACATGGTGCACACAATGTAAGGTGACAGCAGTACAGTGAAGTAAAGTGACGTATGATGGGCAGTAAAGTGACTTTATAAAGGGCGGGGGGACAGGTTAAGAAGTGTTCAAGAGTCCAACAGCAGAGGGGAAGAAACTGTTCTTGTGGCGGGAGGTTCTAGTCCTGATGGACCGCAGTCTCCTGCCTGAGGGGAGTGGTTGGAATAGTCCATGTGCAGGTGAGAGGGGAGTGGTTGGAATAGTCCATGTGCAGGGTGAGAGGGGAGTGGTTGGAATAGTCCATGTGCAGGTGAGAGGGGAGTGGTTGGAATAGTCCATGTGCAGGTGAGAGGGGAGTGGTTGGAATAGTCCATGTGCAGGTGAGAGGGGAGTGGTTGGAATAGTCCATGTGCAGGTGAGAGGGGAGTGGTTGGAATAGTCCATGTGCAGGTGAGAGGGGAGTGGTTGGAATAGTCCATGTGCAGGTGAGAGGGGAGTGGTTGGAATAGTCCATGTGCAGGTGAGAGGGGTCGGCTGTGATACGACCAGCCCGGCCTCGAGCTCGGGCGACGTACAGGTCCTGCAGCGATGGAAGGCTGCGGCCGATCACTTCCTCTGCAGAGCGCACAATGCACTGTAGTCTCTGTTTGTCCCTGACTGTGGCTCCAGAGAACCACACGGTGATGGAGGAGGTGATGGAGGAGGTGATGAGGAGGTGATGAGGAGGTGATGGAGGAGGTGATGGAGGAGGTGATGGAGGAGGTGATGAGGAGGTGATGGAGGAGGTGATGGAGGAGGTGATGGAGGAGGTGATGGAGGAGGTGATGAGGAGGTGATGGAGGAGGTGATGGAGGAGGTGATGAGGAGGTGATGGAGGAGGTGATGGAGGAGGTGATGGAGGAGGTGATGGAGGAGGTGATGAGGAGGTTATGGAGGAGGTGATGGAGGAGGTGATGGAGGAGGTGATGGAGGAGGTGAGGATGGACTCGATGATGGCCGTGCAGGCAGCTTGGCTTTCCTGAGCTGCCGCAGGAAGTACATGTAGCCTGGGCCTTCTTGTAGTGAAACAAGTGTGCTGCCTCCAGAGGGAGGAGGAGAATGTTCTGTGTTTGTTCCTGAAAGCAGATCCATTTTTTTGTTTTCCCGATGCAGGAGGGTCCAAGGACAGTGATGAGCCGGGACATTTATGCTCTTTTATTAACATTTATGGACAGTGGGTGAGTGTCATGGTGCTACAATGACACAGGACTATTACAGGACAGAACTTTGAGACAAAAGGGGCGGAGCTACATGATTGTGGCAGAAGATATTAGCTTGAAAATAGCGTGGAGGAAACTAAAAACAACTCAAAAGCTTAAAAAAGTAAATTTTGCTGAATATTTCTACTTCAAACGCACTGACTAGAGCGCTTCTCGGCAGGACCGCTTTCAAGAAGAGCCCGTCATTATGGCAGGGATCATCTCCAGGAACCTGAAGGAGGAGCAGAAGATCCTGGAGTCTGCCAAGAGTGTGGAGGTACAGCATGAGTCCAGTCCAGGCCCTTTAGTCCAGGCCCTTTAGTCCAAGCCCTTTAGATTCAGATTCAGATTCATTTATTTGCCATTTGCAGTAAAACCACATTGGAAAACTGTGCAAGACTACCCCGGTGTGCACCAGACAGAGGAGACGACACACACCAGAGCTCTTGCCACGGCGCCATCTTTACGGCGCCATGCGACAAACAGTAGAATAAACAGCAGAGAGCAATAACATACAGTTTCACAGACAGTTGGATAGACACATTGTGCCTTGTATAAAGCACGTATTTTTTCTCGGGATGAAGCACCTCCTACAGCCGGCCCAATGTGGCTGTCAGAGGGGGGCGGGGTCAGGGAGGGGGGTGAGTCGGAAACACAGTGAGGAGTGGAGGGGAGGGAGGGAGCAAGATGGATAGAGAGGGAGGCGGGGGAGACGGGATCCAAGCTGGAGACTGAAGTGTGAGATTGTTGTAGATGGGACCTTTTTGTTATTATGGCCTTGGCCGAGGAATGTGAGATAAGAGTGGAGAGAAGGCACAGGAGGAGAAACACATCGCCTCCGGGGGACAATATTCAATGCAATGTCAGGCAGATATTCTATTAAATCCAATTAAACCGAATTGCGGCGCCCTCAGACCCCGTACACAGGGGCAGATCCAAGCCGGGTCAGAGAGTTCAAGCCTGACAAACAATGTCATTCAATCTCAACTCCAGAGTCTTATGTCCATCGAGTGAACGAGCTGCGAGGTCTTTAACCAACTGTTCCACCAAAACCACTCTCCTTTGTCCAGACACGGCGCTCTCAACCACGACGCGGCTAAGCTCCTTGTACATCCCATCAATTTTGTCGGCCAGCAGGTCGTGAATCTTGCGAACTGCCATGCCTCCGAATTTGTGGTAGAAGAGAACAGCTCCAAAGCCAAACAGGAGGATTCCCACCACCAAAAAGCCAAAGATATATACGTCTTCCGAATCTTCAATGGACAGGGTCGACAGACAGAGGGGCTGCCACTTGTTCCAGCTGTCAAGAGTATACCCCGCTGGTGAAGTCCCGTCCGGGCACTCGGGCTCTCCAGACCCACGCTTACGTGTTGAAAAGATAGAATCAATTGCGTTGAGGGACCAGTTAATCATTTCCATTCTGTTAAAGTTGTCTGTGGCAAAACTCCAGGAAAAAGACAAAAACAGGAGATAGCAGCAGTCAGAAGCAGGAGCGTCTGAGACACGTCTTTGCTCGACGGAGGCGGAAGTGAAGGGCTTTAGTCCAAGCCCTTTAGTCCAAGCCCTTTAGTCCAAGCCCTTTAGTCCAGGCCCTTTAGTCCAAGCCCTTTAGTCCAAGCCCTTTAGTCCAGGCCCTTTAGTCCAAGCCCTTTAGTCCAGGCCCTTTAGTCCAGGCCCTTTAGTCCAAGCCCTTTAGTCCAAGCCCTTTAGTCCAAGCCCTTTAGTCCAGGCCCTTTAGTCCAAGCCCTTTAGTCCAAGCCGTTTAGTCCAAGCCCTTTAGTCCAGGCCCTTTAGTCCAGGCCCTTTAGTCCAGGCCCTTTAGTCCAGGCCCTTTAGTCCAAGCCCTTTAGTCCAGGCCCTTTAGTCCAGGCCCTTTAGTCCAAGCCCTTTAGTCCAGGCCCTTTAGTCCAAGCCCTTTAGTCCAAGCCCTTTAGTCCAGGCCCTTTAGTCCAAGCCCTTTAGTCCAAGCCCTTTAGTCCAGGCCCTTTAGTCCAGGCCCTTTAGTCCAACCCTTTAGTCCAGGCCCTTTAGTCCAAGCCCTTTAGTCCAGGCCCTTTAGTCCAGGCCCTTTAGTCCAGGCCCTTTAGTCCAGGCCCTTTAGTCCAGGCCCTTTAGTCCAGGCCCTTTAGTCCAGGCCCTTTAGTCCAGGCCCTTTAGTCCAAGCCCTTTAGTCCAAGCCCTTTAGTCCAAGCCCTTTAGTCCAGGCCCTTTAGTCCAAGCCCTTTAGTCCAAGCCGTTTAGTCCAAGCCCTTTAGTCCAGGCCCTTTAGTCCAGGCCCTTTAGTCCAGGCCCTTTAGTCCAGGCCCTTTAGTCCAAGCCCTTTAGTCCAGGCCCTTTAGTCCAGGCCCTTTAGTCCAAGCCCTTTAGTCCAGGCCCTTTAGTCCAAGCCCTTTAGTCCAAGCCCTTTAGTCCAGGCCCTTTAGTCCAAGCCCTTTAGTCCAAGCCCTTTAGTCCAGGCCCTTTAGTCCAGGCCCTTTAGTCCAACCCCTTTAGTCCAGGCCCTTTAGTCCAAGCCCTTTAGTCCAGGCCCTTTAGTCCAGGCCCTTTAGTCCAGGCCCTTTAGTCCAGGCCCTTTAGTCCAGGCCCTTTAGTCCAGGCCCTTTAGTCCAGGCCCTTTAGTCCAAGCCCTTTAGTCCAGGCCCTTTAGTCCAGGCCCTTTAGTCCAGGCCCTTTAGTCCAGGCCCTTTAGTCCAGGCCCTTTAGTCCAGGCCCTTTAGTCCAACCCCTTTAGTCCAGGCCCTTTAGTCCAAGCCCTTTAGTCCAGGCCCTTTAGTCCAGGCCCTTTAGTCCATGCCCTTTAGTCCAGGCCCTTTAGTCCAGGCCCTTTAGTCCAGGCCCTTTAGTCCAAGCCCTTTAGTCCAGGCCCTTTAGTCCAGGCCCTTTAGTCCATGCCCTTTAGTCCAAGCCCTTTAGTCCAAGCCCTTTAGTCCAAGCCCTTTAGTCCAGGCCCTTTAGTCCAGGCCCTTTAATACGTAGTGAACCAATCAGAAGCTTAAAATCTATGTTAAAACCAAAAGTGATGCATAAGATTTTAGAGCCAAAATAGTTATGTGGGTTTTATCATATACTTATATATGCCCGGGTATTGACTCAGGGTTTCCTACAATATTCCCTTTTCAAAAGAAATCATACTTTTGGGATGTCAAGTGATGGTCTCTCTCTGGTCTCTCTCTGGTCTCTCTCTCTCTGGTCTCTCTCTGGTCTCTCTCTCTGGTCTCTCTCTCTCTGGTCTCTCTCTGGTCTCTCTCTCTGGTCTCTCTCTGGTCTCTCTCTGGTCTCTCTCTCTGGTCTCTCTCTGGTCTCTCTCGCTGGTCTCTCTCTGGTCTCTCTCTCTGGTCTCTCTCTCTGGTCTCTCTCTCTGGTCTCTCTCTCTGGTCTCTCTCTGGTCTCTCTCTCGTGTCTCCCTCTTGTCTCTCTCTGGTCTCTCTCTCTGGTCGCTCTCTGGTCTCTCTCTGGCCTCTCTCTGGTCTCTCTCTGGTCTCTCTCTCTGGTCTCTCTCTGGTCTCTCTAAGGTCTCTCTCTGGTCTCTCTCTGGTCTCTCTCTGGTCTCTCTCTTGTTGCTCTCTGGTCTCTCTCCGGTCTCTCTCTCTGGTCTCTCTCTGGTCTCTCTCTGGTCTCTCTCTGGTCTCTCTCTCTGGTCTCTCTCTCTGGTCTCTCTCTCTGGTCGCTCTCTGGTCTCTCTCTGGCCTCTCTCTGGTCTCTCTCTGGGGTCTCTCTGGTCTCTCTCTGGTCTCTCTAAGGTCTCTCTCTGGTCTCTCTCTGGTCTCTCTCTGGTCTCTCTCTTGTTGCTCTCTGGTCTCTCTCCGGTCTCTCTCTCTGGTCTCTCTCTGGTCGCTCTCTGGTCTCTCTCTGGTCTCTCTCTGGGGTCTCTCTGGTCTCTCTCTGGTCTCTCTAAGGTCTCTCTCTGGTTGCTCTCTGGTCTCTCTCCGGTCTCTCTCTCTGGTCTCTCTCTGGTCTCTCTCTGGTCTCTCTCTGGTCTCTCTCTGGTCTCTCTCTGGTCTCTCTCCGGTCTCTCTCTCTGGTCTCTCTCTGGTCTCTCTCTGTCTCTCTCTGGTCTCTCTCTGGTCTCTCTCTGGTCTCTCTCTCTGGTCTCTCTCTGGTCTCTCTCTCTGGTCTCTCTCTGTCTCTCTCTGGTCTCTCTCTGGTCTCTCTCTGGTCTCTCTCTGGTCTCTCTCTGGTCTCTCTCTCTGGTCTCTCTCTGGTCTCTCTCTGGTCTCTCTCTCTGGTCTATCTTTGGTCTCTCTCTCTGGTCTCTCTCTGGTCTCTCTCTGGTCTATCTCTGGTCTCTCTCTCTGGTCTCTCTCTGGTCTCTCTCTGGTCTCTCTCTGTCTCTCTCTGGTCTCTCTCTGGTCTCTCTCTCTGGTCTCGCTCTCTGGTCTCTCTCTGGTCTCTCTCTCTCTGGTCTCTCTCTGGTCTCTCTCTGGTCTCTCTCTGGTCTCGCTGGTCTCTGTACAATACTTATTTTAATAATCCATGGTATCTTATGTTATTGTCTAAAAACCAACATAATCACAAAAATATAATGAATTGATCCTCATCACAAAGAAAAAATACAAATATTTACGAATATTGATCTTGATATAACACAGTTTTCTGTCCACGTTTGCAGCAGCAGGGGGAGGGCACCGGGTCGGCCATGGTTCTGGAGAAACAGAAGCTGGACAACATCGTCAAAGAGATCAAAGAGAAAGTTCAGGTGGGACCAAAGTGTATCAGAGAGATAGCCTTGATGTGGAAGAAGCTAATGCTAACAGGCTAACTGGGCATCAATATGGAGCTACATGTATGCTAATGTTACCACTTGTCACATTAGCATACATGTAGCTGTAAATAATGTACTTTGTTGTGTACATGTGTAAATAATGTACTTTGTTGTGTACATGTGTGTGGCATTAATGAAACATATTAATGATTGTTGCAGTTGGTGGATCAGAACATTAAAACTCTGGAGGATCAACAAGACGAGTGCGACTTCAGAATGAACACACTCAGAAACCCAGGTGAGCAGACAACGGAACTCTGAGAATAATGTGGAAGAAATATATAATGAATATTAAAATAAATATATCATGAATATTATAATAAATATTATAATAAATATATCATGAATATTATAATAAATATATAATAAATATATCATGAATATTATAATAAATATATCATGAATATTATAATAAATATATAATAAATATATCATGAATATTATAATAAATATTATAATAAATATATCATGAATATTATAATAAATATATCATAAATATATCATGAATATTATAATAGATATATCATGAATATTATAAAAAAATATTATAATAAATATATCATGAATATTATAATAAATATATCATAAATATATCATGAATATTATAATAAATATATCATGAATATTATAATAAATATATCATAAATATATCATGAATATTATAATAAATATATCATACAAATATCATGAATATTATAATAAATAATATATCATAAATATATCATGAATATTATAATAAATATATCATGAATATTATAATAAATATATCATAAATATATCATGAATATTATAATAAATATATCATAAATATATCATGAATATTATAATAAATATATCATAAATATATCATGAATATTATAATAAATATATCATGAATATTATAATAAATATATCATGAATATTATAATAATTGGGGCGACAGTAGCTCAGTTGGTAGAGCACTGGCCATCAGGCCTGAAGGTCGTGGGTTCAATTCCCACCTCCACACCTTCTCCACTGACTCCCACTGATGACTGCTGTCGCTGGCAAGACACTTAGCCCCACTTTGCCCAAAGCCCCCACTGAAAGATCAAGGCTATGCTCACAGTCAGAGAGCAGCCGTCCTCCTGTGGACTCACCACCTGCAGAGGGTCAGTGAGGGGCTGGTGCTATGAGACTTGGGTGGCATCTCTGACTGCCACCCCCCTGACCCAGAAATGGATTAAAGGGTAGAAAATGAATGGATGGATGGATGGATATTATAATAAATATATCATAAATATATCATGAATATTATAATAAATATTATAATAAATATATCATGAATATTATAATAAATATATCATGAACATTATAATAATAATATAATAAATATGTAACTGTCTGTTAGAGAATGAGAAGAACGGGATGACGCCAAAGGAGCTGGAGCAAGAAAAGCTTCATCTCAACAGAATGTGTTTGGAACTGAAAGCAAAGAGACAAGTCAGTGTTTCTACTCTACTCTACTCTACTCTACTCTACCCTACTCTACTCTGCCCTACTCTACTCTACTCTACTCTACTGTACTCTACTCTACTCTACTCTACTCTACTCTACTCTGCTCTACTCTACTCTACTCTGCTCTACTCTACTCTACTCTACTCTACTCTACTGTACTCTACTCTACTCTACTCTACTCTACTCTACTCTACCCTACTCTACTCTGCCCTACTCTACTCTACTATACTCTACTCTGCCCTACTCTACTCTACTCTACTGTACTCTGCCCTACTCTACTCTACTATACTCTACTCTGCCCTACTCTACTCAACTCTACTGTACTCTACACTACTCTACTCTGCCCTACTCTACTCTACTCTACTCTACCCTACTCTACTCTGCCCTACTCTACTCTACTCTACTCTACTGTACTCTACTCTACTCTACTCTACTCTACCCTACTCTACTCTGCCCTACTCTACTCTACTATACTCTACTCTGCCCTACTCTACTCTACCCTACTCTACTCTACTCTACTCTACTCTACTCTACTCTACTCTACTCTACTCTACCCTACTCTACTCTAGTCTACTCTACTCTACTCTACTCTACTCTACTCTACTCTACTCTACTCTACTCTACTCTACTCTACCCTACCCTACTCTACTCTACTCTACTCTACTCTACTCTACTCTACTCTACTCTACTCTACTCTACTCTACTCTGCCCTACTCTACTCTACTCTACTCTAATCTACTCTGCCCTACTCTACTCTACCCTACTCTACTCTACTCTAACCTAGTGTGATGTGTGTGTTTGTGTGTGTTTCAGGACGTGGTGGTGAAGCTGGTGGAGCTGCTGAACCTGAGCCACAGCCTGGTCCTGAGCCTGGTGTCCGAGGAGCTGCCTGAGTGGAAAATGGCTTCCCCTCCTGAGGCGCGGCTGGTGGGATTTGCCAGTATCTCTTCGAGGGACCGATCGATAGTCATGCTCCATGGACTCTCCGAACTCCTCCCCCAGATCCGGGTTTTTGCCTCTGCAAACAGCCCGGGACGCGGCCGCTTGGCCTGCCGGTACTGAACAGCTGCTCAGGAGTCCCTCGATAATCATGGCTCGATTAGGACTCCTTCTTCAGCATGACAGCATCCCTTTAACTGCCGGTGTCCACCACACTGGTTCGGGGGTTGCCGCCCGGGTCCAGCACAGAGACCTTGCGACCCCAGCTACGAGCCGCCGCATCGGCGATTGAGGCAGAGAAACATGGTCCACTTCGGACTCCATGTACCGCTACCTCCGCCGGGACCTGGGAGAAGTCTCCCGGAGGTGTGGAGTTGAAAGGTCCGTCTGACAGGGGGCTCAGCGAGCACGTTTTCCCAGCAGACACCTCCCTATGCGCTTGGGGTCTGCCAGGGTTTTGACCGGCTCTTCCCCTGCCACGGATCAACTCAAAAGACCAAGGTGATGATCGGTTGGTCAGATCGCCTCTCTTTAACCGTGTGTCCGAGACACGCGGTCGAAGGTCAGATGATACGACACAAGTCGATCATGCGACCTCCGGCTAGGGTGTCCTGGTGCCACCGTCACTGGTGGACACCCTTGTGCTCGACATGGTGTGGTGATGGACAAACGCGAATGGGCACAGAAATCCACAACCAGAGCACCCGCTCGGGTCAGATTGTCAGGGGGGGCCGCTCTTCCCGATCACCCTCTCCAAGTGTCTCTGGCCGTTTCCCACATGGGCGTTGAAGTCCCCTGCAACTTACTGTTACGGGCCAGGCCCTTTCTGTCCAGGGAGAGGGAGCTGTGAGGCCCTGGGGTTTGTCTGCCTTCTCTGCCGTCTCCTCCTATGTGCAGGTCCACACCTGCACCATGCCACGCCCCTCATCAGTGGGTCTCTTCGGTCTCTTCACCTGGGAGCTGAGAGCTGCTCACTTCTCTCCTGTGCTGCTCTGCTTGGTCCTGTCCTGGTGGGCTCTACCTTGAACCACCACGCCCATTCCCTTTTTGCACATTTGAGTTTGTCTTTTGTTTTATACACCACATTCACTGCACACTAGTGATGGGTAAATGAAACCTCACGTATCGTTTCGGCACATCCAACGAACTGCATTGATACTGTGCCACAACAGTGTTGCCTGTGCTGCTCTATACTGACGCCTGGTGGATCTGATAAATCATTACATGCAACTCACTGATTCAATGAGCTTTACATACTTGTCTGTACACAATATTACGTTACTGCATTGTCTGTGTTATTATTTTATTTTTTATGTGAAAATTAAAGTGATAGTAAAATGTCATTAAGTGATTTTATATTTTGTTTATTTTTCAAAACAATAAGCATGTCCAAAGTGCACTGTAAACCCTGGCAACTAAAGTATACTTGAAAAAACCTTTGACATTTTCTACACTTCAATTTCTCGAAATCATTCTTCAAGACTGTGATGTCAACATAAACCTTTGAGGTCCGACAGGGATTCGTACCCGGTTCTCTTTAAACGCGCTGTAAAATGGGATGTTTTTCCTTTTTGAAAGGGTTATTTTCTTTTTCTGAGAGCGGTTCATACCGGTGACACTTGCAGATGCGGAACCTTTTAAACACAGTTTGCCGTGTCGGGACAAGCGACACTGCGGCTGTATCGGTCACGTGGCTTTTTCATAAAGCGACACGCGCGCCGATACGAGGTTTTGCCAAACGAACTCGGCACATGCGCCGGTGTATCAGTGTTGCTGGACCCATCACTAATAAATACTGTTTCCTGCATCTTTGGGTCTGCCAATGTGTTCGTCTTAATAAAAAGAGGATGTTTCCTGCTCTGAGCTACAACCTGTAAACGTACCTTTAAATGTACCTGTGAGCGTACCTGTGAGTGTACCTGTGAACGTACCTGTGAGCGTACCTGTGAGCGTACCTGTGAACGTACCTGTAAATGTACCTGTGAGCGTACCTGTGAGCGTACCTGTGATCGTACCTGTGAACGTACCTGTAAACGTACCTGTAAACGTACCTGTAAACGTACCTGTGAGCGTACCTGTGAACGTACCTGTGATCGTACCTGTAAACGTACCTGTGAGTGTACCTGTGAGCCTTTAGAGCCTGATGTCATTTTACTGTGGGTTTAAACACTTATTGCTCTTATTAAGAAGCATTTACAGATATTTCTCTCGGTGTTGTGTGCTCTCCCTTCTGTCTGTGCGCTGCAACACCGACATTTCCCCACTGTGGACCAATAAGGTTCTCTGATCTCATCTTAGAACAAAAGCCTCCCTCTGGTCTCTCTCCATAGGGAGTGATTATACAGTTATTTATCATTCTAAAACATGAGAAGACAAAGTCAACAGTCTCATCTCCTTTAAAGGAAGAGGGTTTCTCTGTTCTAACTTTATGAAATCCACTTTTGCACAAGTGAACCCTTGATATGAAACAAAAGGTGAAGCACAGAAAGTGTAGAAGAGGAAAACTAAGAATCCAGCACAGAAAGAATCAAAGACAGATGCAAGAAAAATGTCAACTTTTAATTTGTTCACAAACAACACAACAACAACGAATATTTAATTAACAATTAATAAAACAACAAATGAATTTCCAGAACGTCCAATAAACAACATTAAACAGTAAACACGATGCACACATATTCTCCAGTGCTCTCAGCACTTGTGGACGGACTCAAGTGAGATCCTGTAGAGTCTGACTCTGGGCTCACAGGATGCAGCCTCAGCTCTGTCTCCTTCACTTTGGTCCAGAGGCTTCAGAGCTGCTTCTCTGCAGGTTTTAATGTGTCCACGAAGATGTGACCTTTGTGTAAAAGACTTTCCACACTTTTCACAGACAAATGGTTTCTCTCCAGTGTGGATCCTCTGATGCACTTTGAGATTACCACTGCGAGAGAAACTCTGACCACAATCGTCACAGCTGAAGGGTTTCTCTCCAGTGTGGCTCCTCTGATGAACTTTGAGAGAACCACTGTGAGAAAAACTCTGGCCACAATCGTCACAGCTGAAGGGTTTATCTCCAGTGTGGATCCTCTGATGAGCTTTGAGAGTAGTCTCATGTCTAAAACTCTGACCACAATCGTCACAGCTGAAGGGTTTCTCTCCAGTGTGGATCCTCTGATGAGCTTTGAGAGTAGTCTCATGTCTAAAACTCTGACCACAATCGTCACAGCTGAAGGGTTTCGCTCCTGTGTGGATTCTCTCATGTGCTTTGTAGTGTGAAGACTGAGTAAAAATCTTCCCACAGTCTCCACAGACGAATGGTTTATCTCCAGTGTGGATTCTGTAGTGATCAGTGAGGTGAGATAAACGTGTAAAAGTCTTTTCACACTGGTCACATTGGTGAGGTTTCTCTCCTGTGTGGACATGCTGATGTACGGTGAGCTGGTATTTACTCCTAAATGTTTTTTCACACTGGTCACACTCAAATGGTTTCTCTCCTGTGTGGATCTTCTGATGAACTTTGAGAGTAGTCTCATGTCTAAAACTCTGATCACAATCGTCACAGCTGAAGGGTTTTTCTCCAGTGTGGATTCTGCTGTGGACCATGAGACATTGTTTTGTAGTAAAACATGTTCCACACAGATCACACTCATATGGTTTTCCTCCAGAGTGAGTTCTGTGGTGGGTCTTTAGATCAGAAGCAGAGCTGAAGGTCTTTCCACACTGATCACAGGAGAACACCATTCTGTAGATGGACTTTGTAGATCTGCAACAAACACAACAAAGACACGTCAAATAATTATAATGTGTTTGACATTGATGGTGGAAGAAGTGAGAAATGACACAGTTGAGTGTGTTCACAGTAAAGTGTCAATTAAAGTATCTGGACTTTAAAAGGTTATAACTTAAAAACTAAAATTACTATCATGGATTAGATAAAATATTTCAAACACAGACACACTGAAGAGAGTGTGGATAAAATCAAAAGGAAAGATTGAAAAATATAATTTTGGCGACATTTTAAACGACCAAATCAGTCTCAGATTGGACCATTCTACTGTGACGCCAGAAAAGGAAATGTCCCGAGTCTGAAAAAGTGGAAATCCCACAAGATAAACCTGGTTAACACAACATCAGTAAATCACTTGATATAAAAAAGGTAATTAATTAAATGGCCCTTGAATAATGTGTAACGGACGTGATGTTTCCGTCCTCTTTTCTCTAAAAATTAAACTTAAGAAGAAAAAAAATCTGATTGGATTTCACATTTAAATTTTTTTTATAGGGCTGCAACTAACGATTATTTTAATAATCGATTAATCTGTCAATTATTTCTTTGATTAATTGGATAAAAAAAAAATGTTTCCATCCCTTTGTTCACAAACATGGCCATGGACCTAAACAAAAAAAACATGCAAATGTAAGCTATGCAAATATTGGCTTTTTGAAAAGTAAAGTGCACAAAAATAAGTATTTTTAGGGATGCACCGATTTTTACATTAAAAATATAATTATATATATATATATATAAGAATTTTCAGACAATTTACAGGATTCTCGCTGAAATGGACCTCTGACTTTTTGTTCAAAAGTACATTATGACTAGTACATGGCAAATTTTCAACAATTTGTAAACAGGCGGGCGCGAGGGCGGCCATGTGCGCCGAGAGGTCCTTTTATGGGTCCTTTGGAGACTTTACGGAGCTGTCAAATAACTTTAGTGGTTGAAGAAGATGACATAGTCTGGGATTGCGTCTTTCATTCAGACAGAAGACATGTTTTATTGTCGATGGTAGAGACAGCACGAACAACACGAACAACAGAATGCAAGTGTATTATACAGAGCGTTGGCATGGAGACCTCCAATCAGCAGCTGCCACAGTGCCATGTAGCTTGGCCTTCAGATAGACAAAACAAGGGAAAAGTACTGGCTTCTGCACATTGATAGAATGATGAGTTTAACTTTAACAAAAGTTGCTTCAAAGTGTTATGAAATCTCACACGGTGTCTACTGTCTAAATCATGGATCTAAATCCAAAGTGATTCAGATAGGAGGAAAGAGACTAAGCATTGCTACACCTAACTAGATGAGAGCGCATAGTGAGAGTGTGTGTGTGTGTGTGTGTGTGTGCAGAGGAGCAGAC